GAGTTCTTGGAGGAGTAATCGAGGCTGAAAATCTGCATGGTGGAGCCTGATCAAAGCAAGTGGGTAGTCCAATCGACATTTGGGATCGTGAAGCATGGTGGTGTGACCCCATGAATCCTGGTAAATCTCGGCCGCCGCCCTGATCGTGGGTTCTGCGCTTCTGGCCGTGGGGACGCATTTAATGCCCTTGTTTGGTGGTTGGTGATCTGACCTCAATTTGTAAGAATGTTTGTAAGTATGTTGGCGCCTAACCAATCTGATTTCTGTCACCAAATCCTAACTTGAGTCACTTCTCTTCTTCTCTCCTGCATTAAATGCCCTCTTGCGGCTAGTGGGTTTGCTAGTCAGAGGCGTTACTTCATTAAATGAGGCGTGGGGCCCTGCTGCCATGTGACGATTTGACTCTTAATATCTTCGGCCGTGTCCCCTTCGTCCCTCGGCCTCGGCCTGTCGATACCGTGTTTGTAAGGCCGAAATGACCATGTCTTCGCAACTTTTCCTTTGTTTTGAGGAAGGCAAAAGCGCTGCATTTTGGATTGCGGACAGGTGCTGAGGCCGAGGGGGGAGGCCCTTTTGGTCAGTGTACGACCGTGATTTATCAGGCACAAACAATATTTTGCCTTAGTCTCGGCAGATGCATCATTTGCAGGCACTGCTAGAGCTTCATCAGTGAGAACCATTTCATAATCCAGAAGTCCAAGAGAAATTTCCACATCTTCTCTCATTGGAGCCAGTGAGAGTTCAAATCGAGTTATGGTTGACTGTACATGTTTTAAAACAAGAAAACACTTTATAAACAACTTTCCCCAAAACTTTAATCAAACACACGTAACTCACATATTTGGACAGTAAATTAAGCATGTTTATTGACATTGAAATGCAAATAGATGTGAACTTCCTGAGCAAAAGATCTTCCACATCTTTGGACAGAAGAAGATCTCTTACTAATCCATATCTATCCATATCCCATGTCGATCCACCATGATAAAAACATATCAAACTGCTTACATCTTTGGACAGAAAGCCTTTCAATATGTTTTGTATCATGATGCAAATTTTAGATCATAAACTTTGAATACAGTGATTATGCAAAAATTGAGCCGCTTTGGCTTGCTAATCACTGCACAAGAACTGTAAGCACTGATCTGTAAAACCGTCAAGAACATGATAAAGTTCATACTTTACACTGTTATCATGTTCATGCTTTATAACTTAAAACTGTCAGTTTATTTTCTTTTAATTTTCCTGCATGAGATTTGTTAGGTAGAACATGATATAACTAAAGCTTTGATACCACATGTAAATCCTTCTAAGCTATAACATGTTGAACACTAACCTGAGTCTGACATGGTGCTGGAGCAGATTGAATTGCGCAGACGTATAGAAGAATCTTCTCTCCTTAGAACCCGATCCTCATAACTATAACTCTAATGGGGTGAGCTTCTGATTAGCTTAGGTGTATCGGATCTAGGAGGGAGCCTTCTATATATATGCATTTCTCTAAGTGTCTTGCCCATCAAGAAACACTTAGAGATATCCTTCATGCAATAGAATTAACGTATTCCAATCCTTATAGAACTAGGAACCCTTAAGCCTTTGTAAACAGCTTTAAACACTAATAACAGGCTGCCAAACGAGATAGGATTTGAGTCCTTGATAAATAATAAGTCTGCAATATTAGAAGATCACCTCAGTAGGTTTAAGGCAATAAACCTTCTTACAAAATCAACAAGATCAAAAAATATCTCAAAGGTGATGAACGTGTAAATACCAAACAAAGTTTGTCCAAACTTCGATTGGGCATGTACTCATTCAATATCATTCCCTCCTTTTCATTACAGAAACCCAAGAGCCTAACAAGATTGGTATGTTGGAGCTTGGCTATAAGCTTCAACTCATTCATGAACTCCTCATGTCCTTGCCCTGACTTCTTCGACAGCCTTTTTATGGTTACTTCTTCATTTCCAAGCAAAATCCCCTGCAGAGAAAGATATTAATGCAATTTTTTTAAAGAGCAATAGACAAATTTAATATCATGTTTATGAAGAACAATGTACTTAAGGAAGTTTCACCTTATAAACGGGGCCAAATCCTCCCTCACCAAGTTTATTAGCTTCAGAGAAGTTGTTTGTTGCAGCTAATATACTCTTTAAACCCGAAAGTGGTAGTTCTGTACCATCCTTTCCACTTCCAGCACTACCATTAGCTTCATTTCTCAAAATTCTCTTTCATAAAAGATATCCAAAAATTCCTGCAAGCAATCTTGTTCTTGCTGGGAGTCAGTGGGAGCTAGAGTTTTAGTTTATAGCTCGTTTTATTTTTTACTTTATCAAGTAAGACAGTTTATTTTGATAATATATTTTAGATTTTCTTTTATTCTGCATATATTATCATTATGGTTTTTAACAAATGGCTTAAGTATAAACTGCAAAGTGCTAGCTTTTCGTATTTGCAGTTTACATCCATGAATGAGTTATTCAAGATTTGTTTAAAAAAGACCTTGGCAGTCTTGTAAGGTGAGCTAAGAACAGTAGTTATGATTTTCATACATTCTTACAGTTCAATCATAACAGTTTTTCGATCTCAATCCGGTTGGAAGCCTTATGTGTTTTCAGAGGTTCATGTGTGTGATTGTAAAAGTCTTGGATGTTATATATCTAATGAACTTCAACAATTCCATGTGAAATTTTGATGATGATAGTGGCTTGATTTATGGAATAGAGAAGTGTTGAGTTCTACATGGCTATTAAGTGATTAACTTATTGATCAAGTGGGAGAATGTAAGATTGTTAAATGTCACTCACTAAGGCGATCTTCTAATCATTGTGGGATTACAAGGACTCATTGTTTATGAAGAACTCAATGTTTATCTCGACCAGCAGCCTTAGTATATGTATTTAAGTGAAATCTAAAGGCTTAGGGATTCCTAACTCTATTAGGATTGGGATTCAATTATCTATTGCATTAAGGACATCTCTTGGAGTTAAAATGTTATACAACCTTCACATTAAAAAAGCCTGTAATAATTGGCCCTAGTTCCAGGTGCTTATAATATTGTTGCTTTAACCAAAAAGAATTCAAGACTCATGACCAAAAAGAAGAATAAAAAAAAAAGAATTCAAGACTTAAAGGGAGTTCAATTAAAACTTTCAGGCCATGAGTCAAAATTAAAGAGACAAAGCGATAATTTTCTCTCTTTTTTTTGGTGACAAGCGATATTTTTCTTATAAGGATCGCGACATCCTAACTTCATGACATGGGCAAAAACAATCTGATTGTGGCCTGATTCTTCTTCCACAGTCTATGCATGTTCCGACCTTTTTTTAACAACCGATATTGTGCAGGAGGATTCAAAAGCAAAACCTCGGATGTATGAATAACTGGTCTTAATCACTTGAGCTATAAGTTCCTTATCCATTGATAACCTATTAAGTACTAAACAAATTGCAGTGGGTTTGGGTCTCAAATATGAATGAATTATATGACCCACAAGAGACTTGGATACTTATTCCTCAGCGGAAAGTTTCGGACCCACCGACATTGTGGCATATGTTGGATAATTTAACAGAAGAATTATGCATATTTTCACCTGCCAATGTAAAAGCTATGGCTGGTTCTTCGATAAAAACACCTAATTTTTTTTGGACTAAAACTAATGCGAACCCAAAGAATTCATAACTCATAACTCTCACCATTTAAATGAATTAAGAGTAGTTCTATTGAAAATGGTGCTATAGATATGTACTACTTTGCTAGAGTAACTAAACATAAATCACGTGTGACTTTCTGGAAAATTTATGGCAACAGAATATTGTTAAGGTAGAATGATCATGTTCTTTTTAAGTAAGGAGGTTCGAACTTGGACTGCTGCTTCTATGGATCTTCTGGTATATACTAATAGTGGTTGTTGACGTGAGTCTCCTAATTAATCAAGGAGATTTATTTCTTTGATTAATTAAGGGATTTACTTTCATATTTTATACAGTTGTCAAATCATTGTATAATTATGAGATACTATCCTAATTGATTACTGTATCTACTTCCTTGTAAAGCACTCATGTAAACTTTTATATATACCTCCTTATGGAGAAGAATAATATCTAACCTAAAGTATTCAAACCATATTCATATTTTAGCATGGTATCAGAGCAATCGATCCTAGGTTGTCTCTAAACCCTTATCTCAAATTTGTCACATTCAAATCCAAAACCCTAAATCAAATTCCTCATATTTTTTCCCCCAAATCCAAATCTCTCAAATCTAAAGTCCTAAAATCCTCTTATCAAAATCCCTAAACACATACCCTCAAATCTTATATACATACCTGCTAACACGGCTCCCCGACCTCGTGCTTCTATCCCCACCACCAAAGGTTCTGTTTTTCATACATCCTCTCAAAAATCCACATGGATTATCAACTCGGGTGCTACGGATCACATGACATTTGATCCTGGCCAACTTATTAGTCGCAAATCATCCACTCCGTCAGTGGTGTCTAATGCTAATGGTACCCCCTCCACTGTTGTTGGAGAGGGCTCTCTATCTCTCTCTACTTCTCTACATCTAGATTCTGTATTGCTTGTTCCTTATTTGGACCATAACTTGTTGTCTGTTGCACAACTTACTACTACTTTGGGGTGTATTGTAACATTTTGGCCGAATCATTGTGTTTCCCAGGACATCCTCATAGGAAAGACGATTGGTTGTGGTACTCGGCGGAGCAAACTCTACTACTTGGACTGGGCACCGAATAGTGAGATCAAGGTTGGTCAAGCTTTCACAACTAGTGGAACTCATTATGAGAGGGAGAGAGACAAAGTTTGGTTATGACATAAACGTCTTGGGCATGCCTCGTTCCAATCTTAATGTTTTCAGCTTTCAGTGTGATACTTGTTGTTTGTGCCTAATAAATCACGGCCATGAACTGGCCGAAGGAGCCCTTTTTCTCGACCCTAGCACTTTCTCGAGAAGCTAAAACGCAGCGTTTCGCCAAGGTGCTTTGCCTTCCTGAAGACAAAAGAAAAACGCTAAGGCATGTTCATCTCGGCCTCGATTGCGGGCCGAGACCGAGGCCGAGCAAAATCGCGGCCAGAAATATTAAAGTCAGATCATCATGTGATAGCAGGGACCCATACTTCATTTAATGAAGTAGTGCATGTTTAATGCAGCAAACCCACTGGCCACAAATAAGCATTTAATGCATGAGGGAAGGTGGGAAGTGACTGAAGTCAGGTTTTGGCGACAGAAGACAGAGTGATTAGACGTAGACATTCTCACAAGAATCCTTGCAGCTTGAGAGAAT